AACTAATACAACACTTCAATTTCTCGAGGTTAATACAAGTTGACAGTAATCATGGAATCTTGTGTAAAGCAGATGATCGAATATTGGTCATACTTAGGCAAGTGGCATTGTCTGTTCCCTGCCCTTCTCTTCCCAGGATCTGTATTTAAATTTTAAAGTCAAATGAATAAAAATAATCTGGAAGTAATCAAACTCTTCACATAAAGGGAATCCGATCCTATGCGTGAACTGAGCAAACTTGATTATCAGCCAAATACCTATCTAATTTGATAACTTTTTCCCTTTTTTAGCAAGAAAAAAAAAAAAGAAAAAAGAAAAACCCTTCAGCTGTACAAGGTACATAAGATAAGCAATCAAGCAAGGGAACATATGAAACAAACACAAAGGTATCATAAAAATACAAAAACAAACCATTTAACATCCACACACAAGTTCATAACACTACAAACCACAAGTTCATAAATTACTATACAATTTCAATGTTAAACATAGACCTCATCAAAATTCAAAACAAACCATTTAATATCCAAGCACAAGTTCATAACAAAAATATAAAGTCTGTATAACAAAAACACGAACAACACACCATTATTCAATCCATATCACTCGACCTTGACGGTCCACTTGTTGGCCCTCTTGTCGTCCTTGATCCTGGAAACAGGATTTGATTTCAAGCAATAACCATCGAATTCAAATGGTGAGCTGTTGGATTCCACTGGTGGCCCGTAAGGGACGGTGATCTCTATTGAGAACCGACCCGAAGCACCTGCAATTGCATATACTAATTTCAGCGAAACACGCCCCAAATAAAAAGCTTGAAAATATTACTAGGAAATAGGTCATTTGTATAGAACGTAAAATGTATCCCAACAAAACAAGAAGGTACCTATTATGTTGTTTTGGTTTGTTTTGAAAAAAGTTCAAATCGCAACTCACACTCATGCACAGGTGTACCAAATAAGCTTCAGATTCCTCTTTTAGAACTTTTAAAGATTTTCTTATTAAAACACAAAAACAAACAGAATTGTGAGAAGGTGATTTATGAGAAGGTGATTTAGTAAAAACTGAAACCCCACATTTGTCTCAACATATCTCATGCCAAATTCCAAATAACAATGGATATGCCAATAAAATATTACCAAACGTAAATAGTTGTAAAGGTAACTAATGTAATAAACTAAGGACATAGAGAAATACCTGTAATAAAAAATCTATTGGTTCTCAGATGGTTCCTCCTCATCCACTCTTGCCCAATAGGTTCGATCATCATTGATATTTGCCGCATTCACATTTTGAGGTACGCATTCCGTGTACACATCGTCATCCTCATTGTCTTGTGCTCTCTTTCCCATATCATACAAATCTCGCGGCTTTGTGCTAATCACATGAGACCAACTATTATTTTTTGGATCTTTCGCATAGAAGACTTGTTTCACCTGGGATGAAAACACGAACGGGTCATCTTTCAAGGAGCTCCCCGTGTGTATTAACCTCGAGAAATTCACTAATGTGCACCTATTGTCATCCGTTTTTAAACCCCTTGTTGAATTAACATTAGCCCATTCACCCTTAAACAAAACAATTTTAAAAGATCTAAAGTAATCTAATTCAATGATATCATTAAGGACACCATAATAAGGTTTTCCGTCCACTTCCACGACTACTCCACTATTCTGAGTCTTTCTTAACTGGTCACGACTCTTTGTATGGTATCTAAACCCATTTATAATAAAACCACTAAATCGCCTTGCAATGCTGTTTGGACCCCTAGCAATAGCTACTAACTCATCCGAACAGCCAAACTTGATCATTGTAGGCACCTACAGATTAAAAAAATATTAGGTACTTGAATAAATTATTTTCTGAACTACACTATTTATGCCTTTTGAATACTTACTTGGGCTAAAAGCCATTCTGAAAACTTTTCATTAATCCATTTTTGTTGAATAATCTGTGTAGCTTGAAGTGGACGATAAGCTCTCTTTTGTGCTGCTAAAAATTCACTAAAATTACAAAGAATTAAATTACATAATCATAAAAACTAGGAAGCAAATAATATATTACTATTAAACTAATTTACCTTCGGTAATTGGACAATAGATCATAATGAAGTAGCACATATCGATGGGGTTGGGCCAAAGACATGTCATCTATCACACTTTCTGCTTTCTCTATTATTCTTCCGATGCTTGAGAAAAAGTAAATCTCTTCATTGTTCACACGATCACAGTTTCTTTGAGGACGAGTAAATGTCGTTTCAACATCTTGAAGATATCGAGAACAAAAGGTTACACATTCATTCGCAATATAACCTTCTGCAATGGAACCTTTTGGTTTGGCCTTATTTCGTACAAGTGACTTTAAAATCATCAATTCCCTAAAAAAAATGACAAATATATGATTAGAAATCATGAATAATTATCATAAAGTAAACGAGATTATATTGTATCTCAGACATAAGAATAGCTATAACAGATCTTACCCCTCAATAGGATACATCCACCTATATTGTACTGGACCACCCAAAATGGCCTCTTCAGATAAATGTACAATCAAATGAACCATGATTGTGAAAAAAGAAGGAGGAAATATCTTCTCTAGACGACATAACGTAACAACCACTTTCTTTTGTAACTCCGTAAGCTCCTCAATATCAAGTGTTTTCGAACACAATGATTTAAAGAATGATGACAATTCTGAGATAATAGCTATCAAGTAAGGCGGCACCGAAGCTCGTAAAGCAATCGGGAGAATATCTTGCATCAAAATATGAGAATCATGGCTTTTAAGGTTAGAAAGTCTCCGATCATTCAGATTTACACATCATGATATATTCGATGCATAACCATCAGGAACCTTCAAATGTTTTAGCACAGTTAGGAATAACTCTTTCTCTTTTGCCGTCATAGTGTAACATGCTTGGGGGAGACGATACTTGTTATTAGCACCTAAGATAGGATGAAGCTCGTGTCTTATACCTAGCCGAATCAAATCAAGACGGGCATTTAAATTGTCTTTGCTCTTACCTTCAACATTCAACAATGTATTGAGGATATTATCACAAACATTTTTTTTTCTATATGCATCACATCTAAATTATGACGCAAAGCATTAAACTCCCAATATGGTAACTCAAAGAAAATACTTCTTTTTTTCCAGACGCATTGTGCCGCACTCTGTCTTGCTTGTTCAGTAGTTGTCTATGCAAAACCATCACCTTCTCCATTGTAATCATCAACAACTTCATATTCCCCCCCTTTTCCATTATCATTTTCCTCGGTATTAGCAAGCGCAATAGGTCTATCCATCGTCTCCCTTGATCTTTTGCTTGTTTTTTTAGATTTTCCATACACAAATTTCATCCCGTGCAACTGCCTCAATACTTCACTCCCAGAAATTATTATTGGAGGAGATTGGAATTCTTCAGTGCCATCAAATTCATCTTTTTGATAGCAAAACGGGTGATTTGGATCTAACCACCTACGATGTGCCATGTAGCAGAATTTCTTCCCATGGGTTAGCCATAAAGAATGAGTCGAAACCCCGCAAGATGGACAAGCAACACGACCTTTGGTGCTCCAACCTTATAAATTAGCATAAGAGGGAAAGTCATTAAAGGTCCACTGTACAGTAGAGATGCTCATAATGATTATACAAAAAGAACAAAGTTACGTACATGGATCACTCTATATACCCCACATAGTGAACTGGTGTATTATGAATATGCACTTGGCATGGAACACTTATTTAACGATAAGAAAAGTATGTAATCTAACTTTGAAAACTTGTTAGTTGTTGCTATTTGAATACAAAAACCTCTTTTTTTCTTTTTGTCAAGATGGAAAAAATCAAGCAAAGACTACCTTATTCAATCATGAATTAAATAATAAATAGTTTAGAATTCTTTAATCTTGATAACTAGCAGGAGAGTGAAAACCCTCTATTTGCTTTATTATAATGCATATAATTTTTCTTTTTTTTTTTTTGGCAACAGATAAAGAAGGAATAAATGCCTTTTTTATCCTTCAATTCCACATTAAGGTTGATAATATAAAAATAAACCAACACTTCAACCCGATAAATTAGCATAAGCTGGAAAGTCATTAATTGTCCACATTACAACCTCGAGGCTGTTTATATTCTCCCTTGATTTATTGTTATCAAATACACCTTCTGATAAAACCGCATAACTTATATCAATAGTAATCGTTGGCGCTCGACTGTCAACAAAGAGCCAATAATTTAATTCAACAATTTTTCATTTCTGACTTTTTTTGGAGTTATTTCTGAAAACAAACCGTTAAAACTGTATATTAATTGAGTAATAATTATATTTTATGAGCTATTCTACTTTATAATAATTATTATTGAAACTAACTACTTATATTTTATAAATAATATATGAAAGTACAAAATTATAAAAAAACTATATTGTAAAAAAATTCTTTAATTTATTTATTTTAAAATTAATATTATGTTTTTCTTATCTCATTAAGAAATTTTGTTTTTTTAAATAAACTATTTTAATGGTATAGTCAACCCCTTAAATCGCAGAAACAATTGTTATAATAACAAATTTAATAATAATTTTTTAACTAATTAACTTGTCATGATTTCTCAAAATTATAAATTATATTATTTGTTATATTTTATTATATCAATATAGCGATTAATATACAGTTAAATAAATTTTTATTGTTTATTTTTTTATCAAATATTTAAAAATATAGTACCATTTTACATCTTATAATTTCATTTATATGCAAAAATTTAGAACATTATATTTATATTTGTGAATGTGCACGTGATGTGTTAATTAAAAAATTAAAGGTATAAATTGTTAATTTATATTTATATTTTTGTCATTAAAAAAGTATAATAATTGACAATATGATAATAGTTGTTTAATCCAAAATTGTTAGAAAGAAATTGATAAACGGAAAGGGATATATTAAATTAAATTGCCTTATTATCCAGATTATTGAAAATCTTTTAATCGTTTTCCAGTGTGTCCTTGAAATCAGCAATACTTCTTCATTCCTCTTCACCTTTGCTTTTCTCAGATCGAAAACAAGCTAACCATGGCGAGCCGGACATCGGAGCTTGTGGGTCGGGTCGACCCAGCTCAGAAATTCGACATTGATGCTCTGCTCCGTTATGCGATCTCTCATGTTGATGGGTTCCCTCAAAATCCATCTCAATTCACTGTTTCGCAGGTTTTATATCTCTACATGGTCTTTTTCCCAATTTTCTTTTAATACATAATTTACATTTTTCTCCTCCTTCTTGGGCTGGTGTCAAATTCGTGGATTTCTGCAGAAGTTCTGTAAAAAGTATGTGCTTGACCAGTAGCTCTTCTAGTATTACAGAAGTTCAAGAGCCATGGAGTTGGCAAGGAATGTTTGTGTTAAGCTAATGGGATGTAGCAGAATAATTGATTTTTTTTTTTTTTTTAGTTTGAATTGTCAGTAACAAATATGCCACAAATTCTTGTTTGAGGTGGCATAACAGGTAGACGGGTCTGACTTGTGATGCATTTTTGTCAAAAAATGCATACTTATGTAATGGAATGTCAATACATTTGGTTATGCTGTTATTTAATGTATGGCATTTCAATTTGAATTATTTTGAAAGCATGGGTTGTGCCAGCCTTAGTGTATATATATTACCTCAAAGGCACTTCTTGTAAGCTGAGTAATGCAAGATCAGAATAGTTAAAGATCCCATATCAAATTACAATCCAAGGTTCAATTTGAAGTTGAGACAGTTTATACGTTAGATCAACTAGAGCCAATTTTACATCCAATGGTTTTAATTGGATCCAGATCACCCGGCAATGGTTGAGCTCATCTTTTATAGTTACTTACTTTCATGTGTTTTAGTTCAGAGGCTATTCATTTCAAGATCATTTTGCTAGTGGCATAATCCAATCAAACCATTGCAAACATTGCAAACGCCGATGTTTGTCTGAAATTAATGACCAGTCCATTTAGAGCTGCATATTACATATTGTTGGTCAATTGTAGCTATTGAAATGGGGTTGGCAAAAATTTGAACCTTGAACTTGCCACTAGACTTGATCTCTCTCACATAAACAAAATGATGAGAAAACTAAATGTTTATTGTTCAAAAGTGGGGTGGTTCTATAATCTCTTTTTGTCCAACACATGTTGGGATGTTTACGTGCAAAGTTGATTATGTTTACATAATGCATTATTCCTGTTGATAATTTGTGCTTTAATTTCAGTTTGGGCATGGCCAATCAAATCCCACCTTTCTCCTGGAAGTTCAGTCTGGATCTCTGAAGAAGAAATATGTGATGAGAAAGAAACCTCCAGGAAAGTTACTTCATTCTGCACATGCTGTTGAGAGAGAATTTCAGGTCCTATTCTATATATTCTCTATCTATAACAAATATGGCGATATTTATCAGTTTTCTCAATATCCAGTCATTACCTTGAAGTGGTTTCATAT